AATGCCGAATTAATTAATTGAAGACTTTCACAAAATTCATTGGGTGCCTCAGTAAGTAAGCAGAGTGAGCAGATTCATTTTTTGGAGGATGCTATGTGAATAAGGGTTTCCAATGAGTTAACTTACCTTGCAGTCTCTGTGTGTTTATTAATGGAATTTGTATTTTGGAAGCCAGATTCAGAGGTTTCTTCTGGATTTTCTGGAGAGAGTAAGTTATAGAGGTGGGGGATGGAGAGAGAGTAAAGTAATGGGAGAAATAAAAAAACAGTGGAAGAAAGCTCTGCGAATGAAAATATGGTAAGCTTCAATGTGCAGCAACAGATTGCTTTATATTGGAGAGTAACTGAAACAGGTGCAATATCACCTAGATTGGAGTGAACCTGCAAGTTAAACACAGCCTCATACTTAATGTGATTTTTGTACTTTTTTAAAAAGAACCTGTAAAGATTTGTTTTTAAAAAAAAGACTAGGGAAGCAGAATTTATTAATAGTGTAAAGTAATTGATACCTCTAGATGCGTCTCATTACCTGGCTCATTTTAGCCTCTTTTCCTTTCCTCCCTCCCAAAAAAAAATTTATGAAGCTGATAAAGACACTGTCATTTCAAAGGGACAGGCACCTACACGTACTGGCTTTGGCCTGTTGTGAACATGCATGTCCATGTATATAGATGCCTATGCATACATATACACAGCACAGATCAGAAAATTGATCTTTCCTCTATCCATGTTTTGAAGAAATGGTCTTGTTGTATGTGTGCTATTTTAAATGCTATTAAGATAAGCAGAAATATGATAGGAAAAGATCGTGAAGGACTCAGAGAACAAAGGAAGTATACTAAAGTGATTAAATACTAAATTTATGATTATTTTTAGGCCCTACAGAAAATCCTAAGAAACTTTTTTTGTATGCTAAATACTAATCTAATCTTATTTCCTCTTTAGCAATTGCTGTAACCTTGAGACAATTGTTAAGACCAGGGTATTCTGCATTTGTTTACTAATATTCTGGACTGTAAAAGTTGTTTTGATCACCCCCTTTGTTTATGCACTAGAAATGGGATGTGTTCAAATTTTCAACCCCTGCAGGAAAAAAAGCAGAACTTTTAAATGATGCTGCTCACTAATTATTTTGATGCCTTGACAGTTTACCAGCCTGTAATTACTGACTTTTCCTATTACTCTGAACTGAAATAGCTGTAGCGTGTTCACTATATTTACCAGAGATGAATCACCTGATGCCTGCCATACTTCTACAGCAAAGGAGAAACTTCCTCTAAAACTCTGCAAAATGCAGTAGTAACATTTCGGGGGTTTGTTTTATTGTTTTCAGGGTGCTGGGTGCACTGCACTGGTGGTAGCTGTGGTGGCAAGGAAGTTAGAACTTACCAAAGCTGAAAAACATGTGCATAATTTCATGATGGACACCCAGCTAACTAAAAGAGTAAGTCACACTTTATATTCACAACTGAAAAGGGAATGTGTGCTAACTTATTTCTGCATTTGTTTTAACTAGCCTCCTGCTCCGTTCTCCTACTGAACTTTTTCATGAGCGTGGTTTTGCAAGGAGGAGGAATCAAATGCCTTGAGCTTTTCTCTGAGTTGAGGGCAACTGTGAGTTCTCATCAGATTTTGAGGATTTGAATATTCTTCTATAGAGAGTTCTTGCAGCTGGAAGATAATTGGTGTAACCAACAGTTAAATGCTGTGAAACTAGAGACTATTACATTAAACTAAAAAACTTTCATGTAGCATATGAGAAGAATATACAACATTTTTGTAGCTGAAATAGGTGAAATGACTGATATACACAAGAATTTCAAGCCTGTGAAGGACGTTCTTAAGAAAAAGACATATTCATAGGTTGTGAGTGAGACAGTCTTTCAAATTGCTTTGGGTGCTTAACACAGGGTTAACTTAGTGGCCCACGGTACTGAAGTGCCTTGAAAGCCATGATAATAATATTTTTAGAAGAGATTATGTAAAAAAACCCTCTAGAAGTCATTGGAATTAATAAAAAATATTTTGTAATTTTCCTTATGAAATATAATTTAAATTACAATAGCATCTTGGAAAATGAAAGAATGCTGCAAACAAGGCAATAGAAATCCTTTATTGAAATAAAACAGGTCAGTGTTGAGGGTACAAGAAAACGAGTAGGAGTTACACAGTCCTCTCAACTTGTTTAATCTTTGTTACTGAGAAGAACCAATACGGAGAGGAAGGTCCTTGACACTCACGACAGGAGCACAGCAGAGCTTGTCCTTACTGGTGGGTGGAGAGGGATGTCGATGCCTGAGCTGGAAACCACGGCTCTGCTCTGTGCAGGAAGGAGGTTGGCTGCCTCAGCACAGCTCTGTGCAGCGGTGCAGTGCTGCACGGCCACAGGTCCTCTGCTGCGGAGAGCTGTGTCATGTCTCTACACGCTGTGTTTCCAGGACACGTCGGCACACCGCCCCGGTTGTGCTGGCTCCCTCGTTTCTACGCTGGTCAACAATAACAGCCTGTACCTCCCCTAAGCAGTCACCGTGGGGAAGGACTAAGGATGAGGGAGAAGGCATTTCTCACATAGGTATAAAGGGTGTCTGACTTGAGGTTGTTGATTTACACCCCTGTTACAGTCAGCTAAGGTCTTGTTGACAGTAGACCACAGACAACAATTTGTCCCTTCCTAACACAGGCACTTTTCTAGTGTAACCTGACAGCTGAGCTCAAAATGTCTTTCAGGAGGGAAAAAAGGTCTTGTAAAGATTGGCCAGATTTTGAGACTGGTGTTCATTTGTGCATTTAAAGTTTATTTTATTCAGCTATCCTTCATATAAATCTAAATATCAGTCTAATACTGAATCCAAGTGATGCTTTGGTAGCTTCAAACTCATGAAACTCAGAGCACACGAAAAGCAAACCAAGCAAACAAATCTGAGATGCACATCAGGTCACAAATTGGTTACATGGATACTACAGAGGTTTCCTCACATCCTGAAGAAAGCCATACCTTGTGGAAATGCAAGGACTAGGCAGAGATTGTGAAGAGGTCTCTCAAATGTGATTGTATTTCCACTGAAGTCAGGACCAAGGTTCTCAAACACTTCTACAGCTACAACATGGCGACCTCTTGCTGGGAATTTCCTGCAATGCCTTTACCTAGACATTGACTTACCTCTGGTGCTGCAGTGACTGGCATGATATAAAGTTGGGAGGAGAGAAAATAAAGATGAATAATAAGGACAGTTTTTCTTGGCAAGTAACCTAGTCATTCTGTAATTAATCAACCTTGCATTGAAATTCTTTGTCTGTAGTTTTCAAGCATTCTTCAAAATTTTGGAGGGCCTACGAAGGAACTGTAGGTACTTGTACCATTAACACTTTATGGAAAGCCTCATTTAAAAAAAATATTCAAAGCACTTACGAAATACAACACTAGCCACATTAATTGACAAGGTATTCTTTTCATCTCCTCAGAGAATGGTGAAAAGGAAACAAGAATAAAAATATAAACAAACCAAGAAAAAAAGTATGTTCAAACAGCTCTGGAAATTTAAGAGACTGTAAAATGGCTAAGAGAATTAAGAGGTACTAACCATAGAATAAGAAAGAGAGAAATTTTATGATCCTATTAAATACATTTAGTTAATTACCATACAGATAACGCATTAGTATTTCCTCACTGTAATTTATATTGCCATAAACAGCAAATGGTGCTAAGTCTTAAAGAGGGACAAATCATTCCACGATGCAAAGAGAACTGGTCCCGCTATCACGTTTATACACAGAAATTACTCGGCAGTCCCTTTGGTCCAGTTATTGCTTTCTGCCCTCAGTGCTGCAGCTTCTTGATGTACCCACTTCCCATGGTTAGGCAGGGTCTTAAGTGCATTATAAAGAGTTTGTACCAGAAAAGAGAAAACATGACATAATGCTACTTTTGTCAGCCTCGTGTTTTTCTTTTATTAAACAGGTGAAAAATGCAGCGGCCAATGTACTCAGGGAAACATGGTTAATTTATAAAAACACAAAGCTGGTTAAAAAGATAGACCACGCGAAAGTAAGGAAACATCAACGCAAATTCTTGCAAGCTATTCATCAGTAAGTACTATTTTGCTTTGCTTTTCCTCTCCAGGTGTTTTCTCTCTTAGTTTCCCTCTTGCTCATAGTCACTCTTAGTCCCCATGTCCCGTCCTGCCCCCTCCCTTCTCTCCTCCCTGCCTCCCCCTTCATTGCTCTTGAGGTTGATTTTTCTCTAAGAGTAAGACAAAAATAAGGTTTTACTGTGTTACCTGTTTACAAAAAAATAAAAAAGCATGCTGGCTGCCTATGTCCAATATGGGGTGAATCAAACTTGTTTATATATTTTTTAGAAGTTTCCCATGCGTCTTGAATTATCTAAGACTTTTTTTGTCTTTTGCCACTGAGAGTATCCTTTGTTGTTATGTATTTGCTTACAGGTAGTAAGATACAAGCTACAACAGAGGAAAATGGAAGAAGTTTCACTCGTAGTAGATGTAATAATTTAAAATCAGAATGATGTGATAGAAGACAGTCTCTGTGTGTAGCATTTAATGAAAATAATATGCATCAAGCATTATTGTACAGCCCAACAGCAATTAGTTGCCTCTCTCCACCATATATTCTCAGTGCATAAATCAAATGTTGGTGTCAGCTATGACCCCTGACATCCGTTCTAGAAAATGGGAGTATATGCCAACAATCATGTGATCTTAGAGCACCTCTGGCATGATTCAGATGAGTTCTTCCCCTCTACTGAAATCTTAAGGGGTTGAAAACAAGTCTGAGAATGGTAACAAGTAGTAGGATTAAGCTGAATTGCTAGACTGCAAGTATTTATCTGAAATTTATAATACACACTTGTCATAAAGCACATCAAAAACAGCAGAATTGCACAATGATTCAGTTACTCTTCCTTGGACTACATGGGAGAAAAAAAGAGAGACTTTTGTCCCCAGGAACCACAGATTCTTCTTGAGGAATGGTCAGGAGCCATGCTACTATTTGTCTGCTGTATTCTATGTTCCCATCCAGCCTGAGGCAGCCATTTGATTAGCCTATGAAATTAGTTTCTGTGAGATATTGGAGAGGTGTAGATAAATTAAGTAAATTTAATTTTTAACTGATGTTTTGATAACTTTTGAGTGTGGATCTGTGCCTGAGCCAACCTGTGAGGAGATGTGAGGGAAGATATGAAAAGAACACCTATGTGTCACCTTGCAGGAAAGACAGGAAGGAAAGGCCAGGTTATCATATTTCCTGTTAGTAAATTTACGCTAACAGTCATTATTTCTCTGTTTCATAGCAATGTTTTAAAGCAATGGGTAGCTAAGCTTAAGGTATGACATAGTCTATAAAACTTGATTATTATATTTAGCAAACTTGCAGGATTAAATGTTACTGTGCTATTGCAGAAATACTTAAAGGAATAAAAAGATGACAAAAGTCGAGGCATTTTTATGTGGATATAAAAAGTATATTTTCCCAGTTTGGTCATCCTGCTTAGCTTAAAGGATTGGGAGGCGGAGAGGAGTGGCAGGGGTTCTGGAATAGAGGATGGCATGTCCTGTGCATCCTTTGCTGGACTTGAATCCTTGATTGCAAAGGTTATTCCTTAACATTTTAACTTTGCTATTTACTTTGTCTGTGTGTATGTGTGTGTCTCTGTGTGTGTGTGTGTGTGTGTGTGCGCGTGCACGTGCACACACACGTTCAGAGAAAAATCTAAAAAGCACAGCAGGCTCGATCTGCAGCTTTATATATCATTCAAGCCCAGAAGAGCTTCACAGGATATAAAGTGGTGTTCTGCACCCGCCTTATAAATTCATTAATCAGGTGGGGTGGAGAAGGTGGCAGCAGTAAATTTTTCCTAGCTGTGTCAGCCAAACTTTGAACAGCTATGTTAATAATGCATTTCCTTCTGTCCTTTAGTGCTTTGCATCCCATTCCCAAAACTTTTTTATTTAAGAAAAAAAAAAAAAAAAAAAAAAAAGTCATTTTCTCAATATGCTGAAGAATGTGCCATGGATGAAAACATTGCTCTAGCAGTTTGCTTTCTTTCAGGTGTGGCAGAGTAGAAGGGTGCAAGTTATTTTTTCTCCCTTTGCATCTTTGAACTTTTCTCAAGTGACTCATGGCAGTATACGGCTCTTTTCCATCTTTCTGGATTCTTAGGTTTTTCTTGGTCCTCCTCCTTCACGTTTCCAACCATTTATTTCACTGGAGACAGAAATAAAAAGGAGTGAAGTTTCAGGGCCAGTTTTATACAAGAAACTAGAGCAGATCATGATAACAGTCTCAAACTCACGGTCACAGCTCTAAAACTGCCTTCAGCTGGTCTGGGTCTTTTTTGCTTCTCATGCGTACTAAATAAGATGAAGGTGAAATCATCACTCTAAATAATACTATTAAAAGGCATTTTATATATTGTATGAATAAGAAAATCTAAAGATTATAGTTAATGAGAAGGTTTGAAGCTATTGCAGGTTCTTCATCATGAATGCCAGTGAGTTAGACTCCACTTCAGGCAGTTACTGATTGAAAGAAGTAGCAACTCCCTAGGACTTCCCACCTGCTGAATCGAGCCCACTGTGCTCATTTGGTTGCTTTAGTATATTTTACAGTTTGTTTTCTTTTGTTTTGTCTTTTTATTTCAACAAAATGAAAATAGAGCTCGGAAGTAAGTTGTATAAGCTGTTCCTTTCTAAATTTGCAGAATTTACCACTGTCTGCATGCAAAAAATAGAATCTTTATTTGTGAACTTCAGTGGTCTGATTGCTGCCGTGGAAACGCGATCCAGAATCATGATCTTTTGCTGTGATAAGTGAAGTTCATAAAATCAAGATGTTTCATATTTTCTCTTAATGAATTTAGGAATGAAAGTCTTGACAGTTTTCTTGAAATCCGGCTGCTGCAGCTAAAGACTTGCCATTACCTAGAGAAACTTTTTTACAGTCTGTGATAGGTATTGGGTTGGTTACCATGAGGAATTATCATGTTGGTGTCAGCTGGTACTTGTATTGCTACAATAATAAATGATTTCTTGGAATTTTAGAATTAAAATTAAAATACTAACTGGCAAACAGATGAGTCAATGAATCTTAAGCAGGAAGCACATATTCTGCAAATTATTTGAGAGATGCTCACCAAAACACTAGAGTTATCATTCTCCAGTCAAATCATTACATGCTTACCTTTGAGTAATTATTCTGTTCTGACACTGTAATGATATAACTCCATACCTTGGAGAGTCCTCCATATTTTTTGCATTAGAATAGCTCCAGCTCCTAACCTCTGAAAGCACCATTCCTACAGTCTGCATTTATGTTGTGCTCTGAAGGAAGTGTCCAGGGGAAGAAGAGCGTATGACATTCCAGTAACAAGCCACTTGGAATGTCAATTTTTTTGTGCACAGATGTTTTCTACCTTAACAGAGCTATTACCATGTGTTTTAAAAGATACTTCAGTCTTCACAACTTATTTTCACATGGTGGTTAGCCTAGATATGAAAGGAAGTGCTTGGTAGGTAAAGTTATGAACAGAAACTTCCTGATTTTGGAATATCTCCAAGAAGGCTTTCTTTAAACTAGTTTTCTAAGTAACACCATCACTGAGAAACAGGCAGAGTATGCATTAGCATACACCTGCCACAAAATGCTGCCAAACTTATTTTCATTTGACAGCTAACCAAATGGTTAGCTTGCTTGGCCTTTGACATACTGGTGGACTGCATGATATCACACATTGTTTATAACTTGATTTGTTGTTTTTGAAAACTGCTATTGCCTGCTCAGAACAGCTGCCAGAAAAGTCATTGAAAGTCCAAGTATTTCTCTGTTGGGAAATGCTGAACAAATGACTCATTAGGGGAGGAATTGCTTATTTGTGAGAATCGCATCTACAAACCACTCATCTGGTAGTTAATCTGAAAAACATGGACTTTGTTTCAGGGAACACATAAGAAAGGTTGTCTTCCAAAGAATGTGCATAACTAATAATAATGCATAGGTAGGCATCAAAGAGAAAAATATACCTGTGTTGCTTCTTTCATAGTTTTTCAATGCTGTAGTTTAAATAGTGCATTGAAAAGGAATGTCTAATGTAAGTTTAAAATATAATCATATTTAGATTCACAGATTATGTAAGAAAATCAAATGTATTGGCAAGTATGTTGGTTATTTAGCTGCTGGTCAGATGGAAGTTCTGTTTAAAGTAATGAGAAACTCACTTATCACTGTATTTCCATCAGGTTCAAACACCTGCTAACCCAATCCATTTCCGACAGAACAGGGCTAATACCTGTATCTAGTCATGTAGGCATGGGAAGATTCTTGATTGCTACAACGTTAATGACAAAAAAGGGTTGTTCTATGTTTCTTCCCATACCTACTTGTCACGATACTGAGGCTTTGAGGAATGTTTTGGCTTCCTTTCATATAGTCTGGATAAATTGTTATCTCCCTTTTTGAATTCAAGTTTGACCATGGCAAATGGTATTCTCAAGGACATCACATTTCCTTGCTCTTTCCTTTTTTGCGGTGTTGAAGAAGCATGCTTCTCATTGTAGCAGGCACATGACCAATTCTGACTTTACACAAAGTACTCAAGGCATTGTCCATGCAGTTATTTGCTCTTGTAAGTTTTGTGCATGCTTTTTAGAAATCCTAATATGACCACATACACACAAAAATCTGACTTAAAATTCCACTTTTTAGGTTAAGAAGTGTAAAAATGGAACAAAGGAAACTGAATGATCAAGCCAACACTTTGGTGGACCTGGCAAAGGTTAGTAGGCAATTACTGTTAACATTCGTCCTTTCAAAATGAGGAGTTTGTAAGTGAAAATGTTATGCATTATACATGCAAATATTGTTAACAAGTTTGGGTTTTGTAGAAAATGAAAATGTGTGTTTTGTGGTAACACCTACTGAATGAAACATCTTGTTTATAGCTCTGACCAAAGTTTGAATGCACCTTTTTTTCTTGTACATTTGAAAAAAGATGTCACAATTGAGAGGCTGACCTTGAGAGCTCCTGAAGTGACTGCAGTGGTCGCGGTAAATGCTGAACTGTGAGTGGGCCATAGTAGTGTAGTGCTGTGCAGTAAGGAGATTTTCTGTCCAGTGATAGTGACTGTGCCATGAGGGACCACAGTACACAGGCTCTCATGCAGACTGGAATTGGAGGTTCTGTTTTTCTATATCTGTTGTCTTATGCAGCAGTGACTTTGGACAAGTAAATTTAGGTCTGCATTTGTTTAAGTTTTTATAATGAATAATAGCTGCCTACATTGCCAATATATCATAAGGCTTTATTAAACTTTTTTAAGCCATTTGAGATGAGGTAGAAGAGGCTATTCAGTTACAAACTGCTTGCCTATTGTTGCTGGGATTTTTCATTAATATAAAGTAATAACTAGGGAGTTAGAGGGCTGAGCTGGTAACATTCCAGGTTTCACAATAGACCTCAGTATTTAACAGTTACTTTGATCTTAATTTGAGGCTACATTAGAGACATTAGTGGGCTTTTCCTAAGGGTTTCTTGTACATCTCTTCACGTACCTCAAAACCCTCCTCAATTTGAAGTGCATCAAAGCAAAGATTAAACTCTTCAGTGTTCATTGTCCTTTTGCTTTAGAGAACCACCTGACGACTTCAGTTGCTGAAAATACTTTTCAGTCTAATGCTTCTGGCAACTGATAAGGACTTTTCAGATACTATTTAATGTAGACTACTTTGCTTTCAAGGGTTATGCTAGCATCTTGAAACAGGGGGCAGAGAAATGGGTTATCGACACTCATCTGATAGTGAAGTGCTTTACACTTCAGGCAGTCAGTCATCCAATTAATTTTTGTTCCCTTTGGATGGTTTATAAACTTCAACCAGTTTGTCTACTGAAGTACATTCAGTTTTGACTGTAGTTTAAGTCTAACCTGAAGTCTCAGTCTATCAGAGGGAGAAATTCAGTCATTATTTTTAACCAGTTCCAAGTCTCTATGAAATAACACGTTTCAGATTACATTTTTACTGACCACTATGGCATTCTAAAGTACACCCTATACACTTACTGTAACCAAGCAGTGTTTTGTAGAGGGCGGATAGATTGGGGAACGCAGAAGTAGAGAAGTATACAATTGAGTTTTTACTCCTTGCACTACATTTCAAAAACATTCCACACAACTAGTTGTTAATAGAGCCAATTCCAGAAAACCTGTTCAGTTTAAGGAGAAAGCAAAAGAATAGCATTTGTGTTCTGCTTAGAAGAATGAGGGTGATTAAAACCAGAGGAAGTACAGAAGAGTCAAGGATGGATCATGGCTTTGGAGCCTTTGGTCTCGTGGTGGCTTACACAACTGACAGTTCACAAAGCTTAGCACGGTGCATTTCTAAGCACCTGAACTTCCAAAAAAGGTCTGGCCTTTTGCCTAATCCATTTAGACCTTAACATCTACTTAAAATACATTGCATTTCTGCTCAAAAAATTTAGTAGAAAGTTTATTCTGAATCTACAAGGAAAATTATTTCACAAGACTAGATATTGTTACAATATTCATATCCCTTTTTTTTTGTGAAGTGCAAAAGCATTTATGAACCCCTATAGAGTTGTGCTGCTTGTTAGAATATTTGTAAGGTCTTTCTAAACCTCTGTTTACATCCTTCTACTTTCAGACTCAAAACATCATGTATGACATGATTTCTGACTTAAATGAAAGAAGCGAAGATTTTGAGAAGAGAATTGTTACTCTGGAAACTAAACTGGAAACTTTAATTGGTAGCATTCAAGCTCTCCCTGGACTGATTAGCCAGACAATCAGCCAGCAGCAGAGGGATTTCCTCGAGGCTCATATCCAAAATTATGATAAGCATGTTGCCTACAGTGCTGAACGGTCACGATCTTTGTCAAGAAGAAGGAGATCATCCTCCACAGCACCACCAACTTCATCAGAGAGTAGCTAGAAGAGAATAAGTTAACCACAAAATAAAGACTTTTTGCCATCATATGGTCAATATTTTAGCTTTTATTGTAAAGCCCTATGGTTCTAACCAGTGTTATCTGGGTTCTGATGTCAGAATCCTGGAAACCTGAACATATTTTAGGCCAAAATGAGTGAAAACTCCTTTTTTCCCCCCTCCTCCTCTCAGATGCACAGTGAATGCACCTATTATTGCTATATTAGATTGTTCCTCCTGTAATTTCACTAACTTTTTATTCATGCACTTCAAAGAAACTTTACTACTACAGTATATAATATAATAAAAAGGTTAATTTCTGCACATAGTTGCTTGGTTACTTGGACTTAACAACTAAAAAAAGCTCACAATCAAAAGGCCTAATTATAAACTTTTAAGAAACAAAATTAAAGCTTAATAATTATCTCTCAGTATGAAAACTAATTCTCTAAACTTTGCTTGCAGTGGAGGGGGAAAAAAATCAATATTAATCTAACAGTGTACTGTATATGTATAGTCATTTTAAAAGGTCAGACAGCTTCGATTTCTGAAGTGATTGATTAAAAATATGGTTTATCCTAGAAAATAAGTTACGAAGTACGCTATGGGTTTTTTAAATCTTCTTAGGGCTTTTGTTTAACATGCATTTGGTACACACACACATAGATAATATATATACATACATACTTATGTATATAAAATTATTTATGCACTGCCCATGGCAAAGATCTTTTAAACTGACTATTTGTAAAGCTACTGGCATGCAAAAAGCACAGGTAAAGTCCTGTTGATTTATTCAGAGTCTCATAATTATGCCAGGTAAGTATGTCCAGACAGAAGCATCACTTTCAAGCTGGAAGTCTCCCATTAATGCTGTTCGGGTTTTGAAAGTGTTAGGTTGCTACTTTCCCACTCCCTTTTTTTGTGTTTGATGTTTCTGGAGTGAATGACTGACACACAGAGTTATAGTACATACAATTGCGTGATGGCAGCACAGCGTTCTGTATACATTACATTTGGGTAATCCCCATGGTTTCTGCTATGCAGTCAAGCTTAGCAGGACACTTTTAGCAATATTTCCAAAACCTGTTGTAAAAAACCTGCTGTAGACTGGAGCTATGGCAGTGGGGTATCTGTGGTACTTTACAAATAATAAGGTCTCCTGATGTCTTAAAAAAACCACAAAGCGTAGTGTACACATTTGTGAAAAAGTTCTGGCTGACTTTTGTCCTGGTTTATATTCCAGAGTAGCTAAACTAGGTAAGCTTAAATGCTCAGCACATGCAACTTGCAGTCACAATTCCTAATTATAAACAGGAAATTATTTGACTTTTTGAAATATTTTATAGTACTTGTGATTTATGAAACATACTAGTCCCGTGTTGTCGTCCCCCCCAATTTACAGACAAGGGTGACACTATAGCTAAGTAGGCATGGCTGACTGTTTCCGAGGAATACTATGTCTGCCTAGAAGTAACTAACATGCACATTAAAGGAAATGCCGATTGCTCCATGAGACATTGTGAGTTCTGGTCAGTAGCGACAGGCAGGGAAGATAGGAGTGCAGAAAGTCAGGGCAGAGCCATGCTGGGCAAGACAGAAGAGCTGTTCTCCCAACACCTGCAATTCCCCAAACCACATACATAATCTGAAAAGCAGCAGACACTTTAGGCCAATTTAAAATAAAGGGTCTGCCAATTTCGGGGGTACAAAATATATAATTGATGAATATAAGTTACATCCAGAGGCATTGCTTGTTTGTGAAAAGGTCAAGAGTTTATTCAACACTTTTTATGTCCTTGACAAAGGTCAGGACTTTGCAGTGTTTTTCCCCCTAGATGAGCAGGATGGTTGCATGCCTTTGGAGTGCCTTGTTTACACACTGTGGTATTTTGTGACTGGAGATAATAAGCAGTATGCACAGTATTTGCAGTTCTGCTTTTGTTTTTATGAAGTACATTTCCAAAGCAAAAGATGGATGTTATGTAGTGCTAATGCTGTGTTAGCACAGTCCTAAACTAGATGAGATTTTGAGTGGTCATGAGGCCACCTGCTTTACACTGTTGGCAGGATTAGAAGTAGTGATTAATAATATTGGAATCTAGTAGTCAAGTTTCAGAATTCTTTTTTTGAAGATTTTTGTTTGTCCATTCCCCCATTTTTGTGTTTAATTTAGACTATTTTTCCTGTAATTGAATTTGAAATACACTTGCTGTAGCTTGAATACATTCCTTTTTGTCCTGTCAGCTTGAACTAGCTCTTTCATTGTTTACAACATCTTTTTTATATTTGCAAGACCCTTTTTTTTTCCTCCTCTGAATTTTACAACTGGGTTTTTAAAGAACTGTAGCTCCACATTGAAAATTCTTTTCCAATCTGTCGAGTTAAGTTTGAATTAAGATCTAGCTATAAGTATTGAGCTGGTTTCTTCTGATGTGAAAGAGCAACTGTCATCTTTGATCTCTCTTACAGAGTAGGACTCAGGAGCCTGAACCTACTGAATTCTTGCAGCTACTTCATTCAGGCAGGTCTGTGAGATGTACCAGGACTATCCCCATCAGTTGGGTTCTGTAAAGATCTGCCAAATTCTTTCGGATTCCTTCTTTGTTTTTAAAGCAAACAACAAATGATGACACCATGGAATACTCCAATTCATTTCTTAATTTACTCTAAAGCTCACTTCAAATATTTTATGTGCATTTTTGGTACTCATGATTCTTTTCTTCTAATACCTGGTTTTGAAAACCACTTAAGCGCTACATGTGAATCCAGTCCAAGAAAAGACAGATATAAACTTATATTCAGGAGAGCACAAAGCAGTATGGGTTTGATTTTCTTGTTCCTGATATAAAACTCGTTTTATTCTTTCCTTGTTTGAGTTTTGTAGTACCACAAATTCCATTACTGATTTTTTTTATTTCCAAAACTTACGCTCCTTCACTGTGTTCAGTATATGAGCTCACCAAAAGGAAAATGGTGCATTATGACACATCTCAGAAACTGCTTGTGTAGTTGAATGTAGATTTTTCTTGGAAAGATTGTTTACAAACAACAAGGTATATTTCTTAAAGCATATGGCGTATTTACCATGTTACAGTTGAAAAGCTTCATGCACCTTTGGCTTTAGTCTCACCGATAGGAAAATTCAGCTTTCAGTTGCTATTGAACTTCTCCTTTTCACTGCATTCCAGACACCAATTCCATTTATCAGTTACTTTGGAGTCTTGTTGCCAGTCCTTGCATTTTTAATGACACTTAGCAGAGATACCTTGCCTGTAAGGACTGAAATGTAAGATCACAAATAGGCCTATTCATGATGCTTAGAACTCAGTACACTGATTTAAATAGTATTTTTTAGTTACATTTAAGTTTTTGCAGGATCAGAATAATACAGTCACAGATACTAGCAAATTGCTCTGCACTTTTTAATTCTGCAAATCATTATCTATTGTAAGCCTGCAGCTCTTCCCAGACAGACTTGTGCGACTCAGCCTTTCTTTACCTTCCACTGCTCCATAAAGATGGAGCTGATACACAAAGAGCTTTATTATCTAAAAGTTAAACATCCAGCTTAGGAGCTCTGAATGGCTTCTGGAAGTCCATACCTTTCCTTGTAAGCTATTTAAAAAATGTGGCTCCCCAGACTGGGTCTGAATCACTGTCATCATTGGGGGTCAAAGATGGGTCATAGGCATACTGTTTTACTGCTGCTCAATTTATAAGACTCTTTCCATGTCAGATCATATGTAGACATTCAAATGGATACACCGCACACTAAAAGCATACCTAAGCATAAAAAACAAATGGTTTAAATATGAGTGTCTAATATTCAGAATAAAACCTATTACCCATATCAGTAGTACAAATGCAAATTCTCTGAAAACTCTTTTCCTGTAACTAAAAGTTATGAAAAATTTTTAATAAGTTTTATCTACAGAAGGAAGAATCTCTGATTAGTGAGTTTGTTCTCTCCATCTGCCAAATATTGCTCATATTGTTTCTTTTTTTAAAAGAAAGTCCTTAAAGTCCTTTTGCCTTTTTAGTCCACCCCTCTCAAAAGAAAGTTACTGAGTTGTGAGAAACAGCCAAATAAGGGAAGCGAGGAAAAAGCTAAGATTGCTCTGTCTCACCTTCAGAAACCTACCCCCAATCAGCATATCTACGTGCTCAGGTAAAAACAGTCACAATTTTCCTCCACCAGCACTCCTGGCTACCTAGAAACAAGCCAGCTGTAGCCCAGGGAGAGCACTGCTGTATCAGTACAGTCCTGAGGTGCAGCTTACACACACTCAAAGCCAACCATTTCTGTATATGTGGAACTTTATGTATGCATAATAAAATTAACCTACATCTGTCAATCAGGGCTTATGAATCTGATCCTATACCTGTTAGCAGAAGTACAGAGAAGACAGAGCTGTAATGTCTGTTAGCCTTTTTTCTCCAAACCTTGTAGGGAGCACATTTAAGGATCTTTGCCCTCTCCATGACTGAGAGAGTAAAGAAAAAGAGATGCTTAGCAGACACTTTGCCGTTAGGTGTGCACAGGTTAGGGCTCTGACCTGCCCAAGTGCTTCACAATACGCGTATCAATGCTGGTCCAGAAACCACAGGGTTTCACTTACTGTAGAGTAAGCACTCACACTCACTGTGAGTAAGCACAGCACGGAGCAAATAAGCCCCATCTCTCAAGAACAGCCTGATGCGCAAGATGATCACAATAAACAGGAGAGGAGAGCTGTGTTAATCTATGCAACTCTGCTCAAGACTTACGGCTTAGCATAGCACCAAGCCTAATGCAGACACTTGACTCCCTGCCAAGAATTGCTTGCAGCTGGGCAGTATAGCACATGGATGGAGCAGGTGCAGCATAGTCTGGGCTAGGGTGCATTGACATGCTCTGAGAAAGCTGAAATGGAGGCAGTTGCCAGAATTAGGATGATCATACTGCTGTATATTAGACTTTATTACAGTGGTACAGTTGAAGCTCCATTAGGTCAATAATTTTCAGGCTTCTGTATGAAGAAGGTTCTCCTGCAGAGGACTGCAGCAAAGCCTTTCTGCATAATGGCGGATATGCAACACAGCTGCAGTGCAAGAAAAACCATAAACCACAAACATGAACGTGTTGCAATCTAACATGGCAAGTAACCAATTCAGATGGAGAAGTGAAGCATAAAATGCTTTATGCTGACTTCCCTTACGTTCAGATTCACTTAAACCCATTAGTATCTTCAAATATTTAGGAGAATCTAGACTGTTTTCAATTATACATGAAGCAAGCAACAAGCTTTTAGTTAAAGGTTCTACTCTAAAATGATGCCTATTCTGACCTCTTGTTGCCTTTAAAACCTGCATTTCCAAATATCTCGAGTCTAAAGAGAAGCCACATGTTCTGCTAAGTGGTTACAACAAAGCAGGTCTCTCAGTAGAAG